TCAGGCTACATGCTAACAGCACAGAGCCTGCTTGGGATTCTCTCTGTCTCTCTCTCTCTCTCTCTCTCTCTCTCTCTCTCTCTCTTTTTCTCTTCCTCCCTCCCTCCCTCCCTCCCACTCCTTCTCCCTCTGCCCCCTCCCCAGCTCTCGTGCACACTCTCTTGCTGTGGCGTGCTCTCTCAAATAAAAAAAAAATGACTCATTAGTGAAGCCTTGTGGCTCAGGAGTTTTCTTTATGAGATTCAGTCTCCCTCAAAGGTATGAGGTTTTTTGTATAAGTTATAACGTGTTTTTGTTTTTTCAGGAACTTAACCAACTTCATATGAATATGTCCCATTTTTGACGTGGGATTTTTGTCTTTCCGTGGGTTTTATAGCGATATTCCCTTTTCATTACTGATATTGCTAGTTTGGGCCTTCTCTTTTTTTTTATTTGTCCTTTATCTGTCTTGCTGAGGTTTATTAATGTTTGAGCCTTTTCAGTGAACCACCTTTTTGTTGCTTTCTTTGTGCGCTTCAGTAATGCATTATGTTTTTGACTTTGATTCTCTTCTACTTTCTTTGAGGTTGACATCATGTCCTTTTTTACCTTCTTGAGATGTAATTTAACTAATTTTAGCATTTTTCTTTTCTAAAACACGCTCCTGGTGCTCGGATGTCCCGCGTTATGTGCTTTTGCTTCCTTCTACAGATTTTGATATGTCCTATTTCTGTTGTCATTTAGTTCAAAATACTTTCTAATTTCCACTGAGATATCTTTGATCCCCAGGCTGTTTGAGGGTACATCAATTAGTTTGCAAGCATACAGGGAATTTTTAAGGCCCTCTTTTTATTATTGATTTCAGTTTACTTTGCTGCAGTCAGAGAACATACTCTGTGTAATCTCAGTCCTTTGAAATCCGTCGGAACTTGATTTTTGACCTCTCATTTTTGATTGATTTTGATGTACTTAAAGACAACATGGATTTTTACAAAAATGCATCAAAATATCTTCCAACAATGAAGTAATGCTGATACATGTCCATCATGATGCATTTGCATCTACCCCAAATTTTTACCTTTTTGGGCACAGTGCAAGGGCCTCCCAACATTTAATTCCCCTTCCCCCCAGACTTTCTGGCTATTGCAAGTTTTATCCATTTTTTATTTATTTTTATTATTTTTTTTAATGTGTATTTATTTTTGAGAGAGACAGAGCATGAGCAGGGGAGGCACAGAGAGAGGGAGACACAGAATCTGAAGCAAGTTCCAGGCTCTGAGCTGTCAGCGCAGAGCCCGATGCGGGGCTCGAACTCTTGAACTGCGAGATCATGACCTGAGCCTGAAGTCAGATACTAAACCAGCTGAGCCACCCAGGCGCCCCCCCCCCTTTTTAAAGTTTATTTATTTATTTTGAGAGAGAGAGAGAGATGGGGAGGGGCGGGCAGAGAGAGAGAGAGAATCCCAAGCAGGCTCTGCCCTGTCAGTCCAGCTCTTCCATCCTCTTGAAGAATTCCCCTTAGTGTCACTCTTCACGAAGGTCTGTTAGGGAAGTCTCTGCATTTCTAATTGCCTGGAAATGTGTTCAGTTTGCTTTCGGTTTTGGAAGTCACTTGCTGTCAGAGGTAGAATTCTAGGTCGACAGCGCTGGACTCAGAGCCCTTTGAAGGCGTCATTCCATTATCCTGTGGCTTCTGCTATTTTTGTTGAAATGCCGGCTGGCTGTCTGACACACTCTTGCTCCTTTTAAAGTAATACGTAGTTTTTGTATTTTTTTCCTCCGGTTGCTCTTACAGTCTGTCTCTGGTGTCCAGCAGTTTCATGGTGACGTGCCTGGAGGTTTTCTTTGCAGTTACCCTGCGTGGTATTTGAGGAGCTTCTTGAATTGATGGCTTGATGTCTTTCATCAGTTTTGAGATGTTCAGCCAGTATCTCTTTGCCCCGTTCTTTCCTTTCCTTCCAGGACTCTAGATGTCCTTGTTATACATTACCATGTTCCAGAAATCTCTGTGTTTTTTTCTGAATCTTCCTTTTTTTTTTTCCTTTGCTTCAGACTGAATATTTATACCGATGTGACTTCCAGGTTACTAATCCTTTGTCTGCTCAGTGCTTGAGCTCCTCTGTTACATCCTTAATT